TGGGGGAAGGTCACAACCGGGTTGTGGCCGTCTGCTAACAGCTGTGTCGTCGTCGATATTCCGGCAATCAGGGTGTTAGGGATGGGATCGGGATGGTTGAGATCGGAGTCATCCCTTTGAGGTGGTGGTGGTGGTGGTGGTGGTGGTGGTGGTGGTGGTGATCAGCCGAGTGCGACTCGGCTTGACGTCCATCCGGCTCGAGGTCTGTCGGTGACCGACTGCAGCTGAGCAGAGCGGGTCAGAGGCGACCGGTAGGACCCGTACTCATACCCATACCACTCGTATCCAACCTGAATCACTCTTCTCTCTCCCCCCTCCCTCCCCCCCCCTCCCTCCCTCCCTCCCTCCCTCCCTCCCTCCCTCCTCTTCTCCCTCTTCTGTGGTCATCATGTGGTGGGCGCTGCAAGCTGGCGCGGCTGTGGCGTCTTACGGCACACCCTTTGTGGGCCTCCCGTTGCTGTACTACCTCGGCGAGTACGGGTCGTTCATGCGGGCCTCGCTGGTGGTCACACTCTTCCACTCGCTCTTCCTGGCGCTGGTAGTCAAGCCGTTTCCCTCGCTCCGGAGCCTGGCTTCGCTCGTCGAGACGCCTGCCATGGTCGGCACGTCTTCGCTGCTCTACGCCATCGTTCCCACTGCCGCCGTCTCGGCCTACTCGGGGCTGCTGCACGCTGTCGAGCCTGCGGTCCTGGTCATCGAAGGCGTGCAGATGGTGGCGCTTGCGCTGTACTTTTCGCGGATGATGCACTCGCACATTGCAACGTCGCCGGTCCGCGCCAAGACCGCCATCCTGGTTGTCTCCTTTGTGGCGTACGCGCTCGCCCTGGTTGTCTTTGCCCGCCTCCTGAGCCACGCCAACATCTCGGTCACGCTCTCGGTCGCCATCTCTGCAGTCCTTACGCTCTCGATGGTCCTGCTCGGCGTGACCATTGCTGTCGAGCGCGGTATCATCTCGGACGCCGCCCTCCTCGCCCTCTTTATGGCGTACATCTGCTGGATGGCGGTCGAGGTTTCGGACGATGTGCAGGCTGCGCGCGGGTCGACGGGCGTGGTGCAGACGCTGCGATACATGTTCCGCTACCTTGTCGAGCGCAACGTCTCGTTGACGGCATCGTTTGCGCCGCTGCTCTCGGTCGAGCTGCTGCTGAGCGTAGGCATGGCCACCATGGCCATCGTCACCCTCCCGCTCGACCTCGACCGCGCTGCCACCGTGCCGTACCAAGTTGGCCGGGCGGCGCCGCGGTGGTCATGGGCGGCAGTGACCAAGGCGCTTGCGGCCTCGCCGCTGGCTTCGGCCTCGCGCCTTCTTTTGTCCTCGTCTACACCCAGTACCTCTCGTGCTCGTACGGCTTTGTCGACGGGACCTACCGCGTCCGCTGGCGCTTCATCCAGGCTGCTGTTGGCCTGGCGTACTACACCTACCGCATGCTCCGGTTTGAGGCAGAATGAATGTCCATGTTACAGCTCTGCCACCTTCTGCACCTCATCATGCTCGGATCCGGGCTTTGCCTCTGGCGGAATCGGCCGGCCGGCTGGCTGGCTGGCTGGGGCTGGCTTGGCGCCACCGTCTCTCGTCGAGAGAGGAGACGGGCCGGGAGACGGCTGACACCTCTCTGAGCAAGGATGGCAGGATCTCAAGTGGTGTCTGTGCTCCAGTGGGTGCAGTGTGTGGCGGACACACTCATCCGGCTCATTGGCCCACTCTTTGTCCTCCTTGCCCTCACCCTCACTTCCTCGGTCATCTACGTCTGGTGGGTCGTCCTCCTCCCTCTCCATGTTCCTCAGGTGGTCTCTTTCTGGGGCCTCATCCACTGCATGGTTGCCGCCTGTCTCATCGTCAACATCCTCTACAACTACATCTCATGCATTATCACCCCTCCGGGAACTCCAAGCAAGGTACCTGCCCTCCCCCTTCCCTCCCCCCCCTCCCCCCCTCCCCCCCTTCCCCGCCTGCTTCCGTGCCGCCACCCCTACTTCGCCCCCCCCTCCTGCTGCGCCCGCCATGCTCCACCCACCCCTTACAACTCACCCCTCCCTCCCTCCCCCCCCCTAA